TTTTATTAACCCGTGAAACARWGTRTRYGYGWKAYAMWAWAAMASMRMARGAAAACGAGACCCAACAAAGAGCGATAAAGTGTGGTAATAAATGTATTTCACGGATTTATAACTGAAACCACTGTACAGTGACTGGAATAAGACATTGTTTCTTTCAAATTTATTGGCCGATTACACTTTGATTATTAGAATATTTTGTTTACTGTTTTCCCTGTCAAATACTTTATCATTGATTATATTGTATTATAGCAGACTATAAGAAGTATTTTTAACATGGCTCTCTCTAATTGGGTGTACTACAGAAATTAAATGCATTAAAAAAARCAAATGAATAAATCTCTCTCATTGTGTTTACTGGAAATGGTATCGGACCTCTTTGTCTTCGTTTGAACCCWACTAACCAGATTACTATTTGAAACCAAAAACCCATGAAACAAAGTATATAACTAAAAGCAAACTATAATTAACCGAGTATAGAGTACTGAAGTGTACCAATTAATTGAAAGCCACTCTATAATCAGTGTGTATTTAGTTCTCTAGATAAGCCTGGTCTTTGAATTAGTATAGTTTTCTACCAAGCTATTGAGATTGTATGATGTTTGTCCATTTGAACACCACACTTGAAGATTTTAGTACGTTATCCCCTCAATTAGGTCACAGGATCAGTTTTTTCCCACTAGCGATAGTTAAGAYAAGCACAGTAAGCACATTCTCCACTTGCTATGCAATCATTTAAAGATCAGCATCTTCCATTAGTCTCATAGAGTAGGTGGTGTTCAGAAATCAGCCGCGCTGTGGCGACTTATAGCATACGGTGAACCTCGAATGTTATCGCTTGTGCTTGCCTCAGTTTCCGTTACCTCTGCGCGTCGAGGTCGTTTTTGAAAAGTAAGGTCGCACTTTGTCTGTCCATCGCGATAACTCTTACTGTACTGCTTGTATGACCGACATAGTACATATACCAAGAACATCAATGGTACGTACGCCAGGAAGTTTATAAACCCTTTTAAACCCTGACGAAAGTTTGGTCTCATTTCATCAATAGCTGAACTAAATACAGCTATCAGAGTAAGGTTAGTGAGGAGYAAAGCATCAGAATTATTGATCCAGCTGTAGTCAGTAGTCGTGTGATCAGCGGACGAGCCTTCTTTGTAGGGACGAAGCCACACGAACATCACGAGTACCGCTACACATGCTGTTTCCAAAAGAGCTCGTTTCATCGAACTGTGTGGTACAAAGGTTTCAAGACAAAGGATTATGAGCCTGCTGATGAAATAAAAAGCTGCGCACCAGCGGTATTCATCTGAAACAGTGACATTTAAAAATAGAATTAGGAAAATGAGAAAGAAAGAAAAAGAAAGGGTGGATGAAGTAACATTTTGTGAAATGGAAWGGGAGAGGAGAGAGGGCAATATGCATGAGGGTGAGCTGAATCGAGGGGCAAAGCTTCTAAAATCTAAGAAATAAACTGGGAAATCTCATACCGCAGTAGGAAAAAAGCATACATTTACCGATGGCAAATGAAACGAAAAAAGGAAGAGGGAGGAGGAAGAAAGGGATCCGATGGTTTCGAATTCTCAAAGAAAAGAGCAAAATGCAAAAATATCAGTTCTTACCTTTGAAGCATCCTTGTAGCTTGTCAAACAATGGTTTCAGGCTTAACATGTTAACGTTGAAGCACTGTCGAAGGCACTTTGCGACACAGGGCTGACAGATCAGTACAAACGGGATAAGCAAGACTACAAACAAAATACACAAGCAGGCCAGAATACCATAGGCGATATGTTTACCTTGGAATACATCCAGCCCTCCCTGGACAAACACTTTAGCATTACCATCAATCAATACAGGGTTGAGTATCTTGAGCGATATTCCAGTGATGTTGGTGTAACACAAAACAAARATCGTACTAACAGCGCTGTATGGTGCTCTCACACACCGACTGTACCTCCAGTTAGGGAAATACTTCACTAACTTAGCAATGACGAACACGAGAAAGAGAAGAAACCCCGGTAACATATACATAATTGCAAATTTGTCCACTTCGTCAAGCCCCTCAAATATGCATGTGCCAGTGTCGCCAACACGCAATCTCAAATTTGCCAAACCAATGATGAACTCCATGAAATCATCGAATTCAAAAGTTCCTGGTACGATAAGTAAGATTACCTGGTAGGAATACAGCCAGGCATTAAGATAACCRGTGAAAGCATCAACATTTATAACCATAAGACACATCACTAGCACTATTAGCGATAGACCTATTAGAAATAAATAGGCGATGTGCGATTTGCTGCAATTTTCAATGCATGACTCGCTGCCAAATGATGCAGTATATCCAGGTTTACACTCTCCACAAAGAACACTGTTATCATCTCGRTTACCTGCGCACATTTTGCTTTTCACGTATGTACATTCTCCGATAGCGTTCTGATTGAAAGGGTTAGGACACTTACAGTAGTTTACCGGGCAGGGAGCCGTTAGAAACGATTTGGGCTTGATAGGTCCCGCCCAAAAACCTTTCTTTAGAAAAACGTTTCGACCATCGTCAGCACATCGAGATACTCCGCCAAGTTYGTTACAGATGCATYTACCATTGCCGTCGCTTTTAAAGCCAGGATTACAGCCTTTAAGAGTTAAGTTGTTGATACTTTCTTGAAGGACATATCGCCCAACTGATCGTAGAATAACGTCGAATTGGTCACCATCATGACCAGTTATCGTTAATAGGGCCACTTGTCTTTCATGGATGAGGAAGAGATTAGACGATGTTGCGAGACGAACTCTTGAAGTCTGTTCCTTCGGCTGAATATCAATGCTCACCATGCCATACACAGGGTTCCCGATCTCGTCCAGAAGGGTGATCGAAGCATTGAAGATCTCACTTGGTGCTACAAACCAGTCCTTTTGRCGAAAGACAACATCAACTGGATCTGTTGAAACTTGTTTGTTGATGTTGCTGTGATTTAGGCCATCACGGTCAAGATATTTTATGATTTTCCATTTAAGAACGCTATTATTTCTTCTTGTCTCGTCAACGCGTCGACAGTTCTGAAGAGATGTAGCATAAATAGACAGTCCCGACTCCTCGCTTGGTCCAACGTTGCCTTGAAAGATAATCTCCGTTTCCCAGAGGTCAAAATCAACGAACTTTTCGATGTATTCAAAGAAGCACTGATGGGTAGCATAACCGGTTGCGTTAAAGCTAACTTGTGGGGACCCCGGTGCGTCAACAAACACAGCACCGCCCTTTTCCGAACATTGGTTGCCAATAAAGAACAGTGAGGTGTTTTGAGCGAACCTTACTCTAGAATTGCCATATATGGCAAGAGCACCTCCTCTGTAGCCTGTATTATACGAGAAATTCACATGTCCGTGAATCACTAATATTGCTGAGTCTAACACCATACTGGTGTGGGTATTGTTTGAAATTCTGAGATATCCCCTTGATGTGATTGGTACCTCTACGGAATATACCGCTCCTTGGCCAATCAAAACGTCTTCATTGATAGTGACGACATGRTTGTTGGTAATCGTGCAGTTCGCTAGCACGACGTGGACTGCCACCAAGGGACCGATGTTGTCATTGTTAAGGTTAAATAAAAACAGTCCAAGAGCTGATCCAACGTTACCTTTGTTATAACTGAACACAGAGTTAGTCAAGACAAACTTCTCCCTGGCTCCTGATAGGGACTGGGTATCCTCAATAAATGTAGTACCATATATAGACACACCACCTCCCCATATTGATGTATTGTTCATGAACTTACAGTCTTTAAAGCTAAACCTATTTGGAGCAATAGCAYTCTTTGAAATGGTGATGTCCCCTATTCTTGCCGCRCCCCCGGCAAAACTTGCATAGTTTTCAGAAAATATGCTTTCAACAACTTCTATGCTGTTATTGCCWGTCTYGTGTTTGAACTCAGTTTGAAGTCCCCCTCCCCACTGTGCGCGGTTACCAATGAAAGYRCATCGTGACATGGTGAATGTGTTACTACTTGCGTTACCAAACAGATATATGCCAAGACCACCACCGCGGCTGAACGGGGTCAGCGGTGAATTAATCTTATCGTCGATATCTGGACTTCGTGCTTCATTTCCGAGAAATCGCACATTTCTGAGAATAAACTTTCCATGATGTTGGAATTTATCATGGTCTTCTCTGCTGATGTTGATAGGGTTGTAGCCATAYGAGTTTAACATCACAAATATACCGCCGCCTGCATGTGCTTCATCCACTTTAGATTGATGGGTGTCATTCGACTCAGGCACGTTAGCCTTAAACAAACTATCAGCAATATCAACAGACCCAGTGACATCAGTYAATGTTACTGCAACACCATGGCTTTCACTCACTACAACATTTTGCATTTGTAAATGTTTGCAATAACTGAAGTAAATTGCGGTCAAATACTCCATATGCTGTATTTCTCCTGTTGATTTTTCGTAACTTATCAAGCTCTTTTGCCAGCCACCACACTTGYGAAGTTTCAGGTTGTACAGTCGGATGTCAGTAGCAAAAATAAATGCTATGCCTATACCTGTGKAGCAGATGATTTCAACTTGACCTTCTCCCTCCATAGCAAAATGACTGATTGCTGTAATATTGTAGCTTTTYTCAAGAGTGTACGATCCTTGTTTGAGTGAAATCCTGGTATTATTTCCTTGACTCAAAGCTCTTTGGAGTCCAAGATCTATTGTCCTGCATGGTGTCGCTTTTGAGCCACAAGACGAAATCAAGGAACCTATTTTCGATACAAAAATAGTACTAGTAGAATTCCTTGTAGTGTCGACAACATTGCTAAAAGATATTAGAAGAATAACAAAGACTATTCCTCGGTTTTGTGCATCCATTCTGTTCTTCTATCTTAGCCTGGTCTATCCTGGTATATTCAGCCAGAAAGACACGTCCCTATATTTACATTGTWCGTTTCTCGGTATTTCATTAATATTTCTCGGTAATGGCGTGACGGTTGCACAAGGCCGGAAGTCTGGATAACGCTGTAACACGCTACTGGAGATATCGGGCTTCCTGTTTATGATCAATMTTTGGAGCTCTGCAATTACAGGTCGAAATCAGAGATAATTGTCAAAATAATTGATCTGTCTGCTATATGTTTCTTGGGCTTAAAGTGTAAATAGCTGAAAGTGTAATGTTGCATGTATCTTCSACAAGCTTTCCCTTTTCGGTAAGGTTCTTTTTGTTTCGAATAGAAAAGATWTTGATTCGTGAATAAGTTTATTAATGCAATGGTTCCAGAGGTTTTCTCTTCTTCTCTAGATGTTTTTTTCAGAGTGTTTTTTCAGAGTGTTTTTCGTATTTTAGTKTCTTTACTAACAAAACATTTAGAAACTTAGTAGAGAAAAACTCTGGAACCAGTTTATTATTCCACTTAAAGCAAAACATCATTGATATTATTATATTATTCTTGTTAATACCAAATACCGTCAAGCAGTAAAAAAATTAAGAGTTTCAGCACATAGATTGGTTAAATGTTATTTGTTTATTTCACCGATAAACGCACGRATGTGAAGATGCTATTTCGTGCGTAATTAATTCCTGGTGAAATAAACTACTTGGGATATTAGCAAAACACTCAAAAGGCTGAAAATCTCTCGTCTCCGGCTCGACATTTTTTACGCATTTTTCGTGTTCTCCCAAAATCCCGATTGGTTTATTTCACCAGGAACTCACGAACATGTGTTGTTTATTACTTAATGAATTTTAATTCAATTTTAATTAAAACTATTATTTTTATCTTTAATTTACGGCATATTCCTTTGGCAAATATATGGATATTCCATTTCACAATATTTATTCACCCATTTCCCATTCTTTCCCGCAATGACACATTTCTTGCCTGTCGTAGGATAYGTTGGATAACCAGGAGGTAAAGGCATATTATTCATTACAGGAGAACCGTCTGACCATTTGTATTTCGTTGTGTGTCCTTCGTTATACAAGCCTATCCACGCCCCGTGATCGTTCCAATCTAAGGATAGTAGGTATGGAAGTTAATAACCTCTACTGGTGCATCTTGTATGGATTCATTGTACCCCGGGCCGTTTTCTTGGCTAGCGCCGAAACAGTAACGTGTTTGTCGGAGGCGTTGGGCAAAAAAAAGTCTCGGGGTACGACGTTAGTCGGGAATATTGATTGCCAGACTTTTTKTACGCAGTCGCTACTCATTTTTCCCTTATCCTTCCCTTGATTCATTGCGCACCCTGAAAAACGAGAGAAGCGGACTGGGTACGAGTCTGATTGCTTGGTACCTATGGTGTACAACTTACAGCAGAAAGTTTGCATTTGATCAACCACAAGACTAGTGTTAAACAGTGTCAGATGTTTCATAAACATGGACGATGAAGTACCAAGAATGAAATCATCATTGCTTGTTATAGATACAGGAGACGGTGGAGTTATTGATTTCACCAATGGTTTCTGTCCACGTACGAGATATTTGGCTACACCTGCAGATTTGTTCCAACTTAAAGCAACAAAGGCCCAATCATTGTATTCCATCCTGTTTTAAGATAGAACAAGATGACGGAGGTGAAATGAAAAAGGGATCATGGCAAGTACGTCAACATAAACATGTGGCAGTCATGAAAGAAGTGTCTTTTTGGCTTGAACCTTGTCTAATGTTACTGCAAATTCGAGCTCAGATAGTACAGTTAAAAGCCAATGAGGTCTGAGATCCAAAGAACTTTGATTTTATATATAGTAGCAATAGAATCCCCGTGGCTTTTAATGGCTTTAGATACCCGAAACTACAGTACTGTAAGTCATGTAAAGTCAAGTAATGGGATCTAGGATCTAGAGTTTAAAAATCGAGATCACAAACAATGGCAGACGGGATAACGATGTGAAGAGATACAGCGTACGCTCTGTATCGCGCAGATCAATATCTTACCTACGACGCCCAACATATTCTTCCATGATTCGTGCTGCGCATGTTACTGTACTTGAATTTGATGAACTAAAATAGATTTTTATTTTTGAATCCTCTTGCGAACGAAAGGTCARTGGTTTTTGATATTTCACGATATAATTAGGAATGGCCTTAATCCAGACTGTCACTGTAAATCCTTCAGGGTTGAGAGAAACAGCAGGTACGGTGGCGTGCTCATCTTTGGTTCCATCAAAAAACAAAGCTATTTCCTGGTCATCGTAGACGTACTTAACAGCAGCCGTCAACCTAGTAAGGGGGWTTAACAGAGAGGAATATTTGCTGGYGACAAAATTAATAGATTAAAAGAAAAATTCTTACTTGACCGATTGTTCATTCCCATTTAATTTCCAGTGGATGTAAGGAATTCCTACATCTGGTTCATCTGAAGATAACAACAAATTTTAGACTAGTGGTGGTGGTGGTGGTGGTGGTGGTGGTGGTGGTGTGTGTGTGTATTTCTCCCTTCTCTTTCTCTCTGTTCTTCCACCCTCAGATTAGTGTTGCTCCTTAAACTAGGTAAAGCCGATACTTTCACCGATCACATTGGCTCACATATCGGTGGATTACCTTGCCTAAGATACGTCAGGTTTAACTGATTAATAAACACATCGTTTACAAAGTCGGTCTCATGTGCGCTGGTAATGGACTGAAGATCACCACCCATCGACTGACAATGCCTGCGAGCATCGGTCCAGTTTTTCTTGTCTGTGAAAAGTTTTAGAGCAGTATTTCCATAGCGATACCAGCCATCACCTAGATCTGCGCATGACATGAAAACAGGTCGATGAATAAAATCAGAAGAAATTTTCCTAGAAAACTCCAGGTCTAATCGCTCTTACTTACCCTCTTTCCTTTTACAATCGTAGATTTTGCAGTTGATGGAGTTGGTTATGCCCTAATTAAAAGAATTTAAGATGAATATTGACGGCATTACTGCTAGTTTACGATGAAGGCCAGGTTTCTAACGAATGAAGAGAACATGACTGCAATTTTTTGATGTACTAAAGTTCGCCGGAGATGGTGATCAAAATTTGCTTGTTGTTAATTCTTAATAAGGTNTGATATAGAACTGATTAATAAAACATCAGTGCTTTATCGGGATATAAAGGTCCATCATGTGACCCAATAGTTGGATTCTGATTGGACTAATGGCTCATGAATTATTAATGAGTTCTAGAAACACTATTAAAATATTTCATGTACAAAACAAAACTTTTGTGAATAGTATTGAAATTTAGGTTTACTTTTTATGTGAAAATTACAGGGGAATTTACATGATTTTGGTCAGCAGGATGATAAATAAGCAACATTAAAATTTTGACAAGATTTTACATATTATGGGATAATTTATTGTCAATGTGGGTGTGTTAAATGTATCAATAATGCTGCAGTTTTTAAGATAAATTATGTACTCTTTACAAAGATAATACATCTAATTTTATTAACACTATTTCAAGAAATTGTAAAAAAAACTTAGCATCTAGAATACAATCAAAAGATTGAAAGTCTTTTTAAACTCCTACAGTTTTGTATTGAGATTCTCACCTACTGTTTCCTTGCATAGTCAGTTTTACGTTGTTTAAAAACGTTTTGAAAGGCAAATAGTTATAATGGGATCAATCTTACCTTGAGACGTCAGATCAGTATAGAATGATCCTTCATGATCACTATCAAAGATTTCAATGGCTACAGCTTAACTTATGATGTTGATCTTCTCGACACAAATTTCACAATAAATACTGAACGTAGTGAGTGAACACATATCAATAATAAATAACCGTTGAATACACTCATTGCCGTGGGAACTAGCGGTAAACTAGCCACTAGTGTGAGCTGTGTCGGTGTTTCTAAAGAAACAGTGTGCAATAAAAGACAAATTTAACACCGTAAAAAAGTAGGTGAAACAACTTACTGAGGTTTCGGACGCCAGACCTTCGCCGTCGGAGTAAAGAGACGAATGATTGACGTCCGAAACGTCAGGAAGTTGTTTCACTTACTTTTAACGGTGCTAAATTTATCTTTTCATACGTACACTCATTACCGTCCATTATCTCTCTATATGACATTATTTAGTTCAAGATTTCGATATTCATGGAAATCTCAAAACGATTTGAATGCCATATTTACCTCTAATGCATAACGAATCGTCTATTGACATATGTGTAAAATATTGGTATGATTTTTTACAACAACTATACAATGAACTTTAGGTTGTGTTTTACTTTCTTATAAGTTTGT